AGGGTTTGGGAGAGGTGGAAAGGGTTTGGGGGAGGTGGCCGTTCGGGGAGCCCTAATGAGCACAAAGGCTCCCTTACCCCAGCCGGGCCCACCCGGAGGGAGAGGGATGGATAATCCCGGGAGGAATGCTTTATTCGGGAAAATCAAAGGCTAATGGGCTACTTTTTAAATGGAAATCGCCGCTCCAGAATAGGTTTTGAACACACACACAGCCGTTTGCATGTGCAGAGCAGCGCTGAATCAGCCAGCAAAGCCCTCATCTGCTTGCTTCTCTCTCTCTTGAACATTAACGTTTCTGGTGGCTTGAATCCCAAGGGATTCCACAGGACTTCCTCCTGGAACACTGTCCTCAGCCTGCAGAGTGCAAGAAGCTCTCTTCCCTAAGGATTTTAACCAGAAATCCAACCTATTCTCCGTCTTAACCAGCCCTGTTAGGGAACAGTCCCGCAGTTGCCTGGGATGCCCCATTTGATGCAAACAGAGCCAGCTGAGATGAGGGTGTCTGTGGGAACTGCTGGGACAGTGACACCTTTGACTGGGACAGAGCAAGTGAAACTCCTTCCTAACTAAGGTCAAGTCGTGTCTGACTGAGGAACCTCAGCTGCTGGCAAGGCTTCAGTGGAGCTCTGGGTACAGTCACTGAACTATAGGGCACAGTCTGAATCAGAAGAGGAAAACCAGAAAATGACATCTCTCTGGTCTGAAAGAGGCAATTAAATTCAATCATTCCACTCCCTCCTTTCTCCCTGGGACAGCACCCAGAGGGGGTTCCTGTGTGAAGGGGTCACAGGCAGGCCCAGCTGTGCCCAGTCCCCACCCACAGCTCCTGCCAGGCAAGCTGGCAAAGGGCCTTTGTGCTGGGAAGTCCCACTTGAATATCTGCAGCACTTCCACAGCAGCTTTTGGTTGCTTTTTAGTGCCCAGAGCAAATGAGGGCTCCTCCCTTCCCTCTGTGTCCCCCGGAGGCAGCAGAGTGTGGAACTTCATCAAAGCTTTCCACTTCATCTGCTTCCACTCGTGGGAGAAGCTGGAAGTGGGGACTGAGGCGGGGGGAGCTCTGCAGGCCCGGGATGGGGCAGTTCCACAGCCCAGAAATGCCCCCCTGGGGCTGGGCAGCTCAACCAAGGGGTGCAGAGCTGTGCAGGGCAGCCTGAAAGAGCAGCAGACAAGGTGGTGTTTGGCCAAGGCTGAGTTTAGGCTGAGGGCAAGGCCACAGCCAGAAGTTTAGGCTTGGTGGTGGAAAGAGAAGACCTGGTTTTATCACGACATCTCAGCTGTTCTATAGGAATTATTGCTCTCATGAGATTCCCACTATTCATATAAAACCAAATTTCACTGCATTTCCTGCTGCTCTGACCCCATTTTCATGCTCCTGTTCTGCATGTGAAGCAGATCTTCGAGGAAAGACATCTTAATCTTAAATCCTCCTTGGAAAAACATTCCTAGAGACAAGTTCCCAGTGAACTACGAAATCTAGGATATCACAGAACCATTAATGTTGGAAAAGACCTCTAAGAGCCTCGAGTCCAACAGAACATCTAAACCACTGATAGAAACAGGGGTGTAGATAAAGGCCAACACCTTAAAAATAAAGAATTAATTAAAAGCAAGGCAAGGAAAGCAGTGAAAAGCATTGGAAATGACACCTGCTGGGAGACCTCTCCCCTTGGAAAGAAACACTTTCCTGTATAAGAGAGACTCTGGGTGTGTCCCAAGGTCTGAGCTGAGCCAGCTGGGCCTCTGGGCAGCTGAATTTTCTGCCATGCAGGGACAGAAACCATTTGAGAGGAAATAAAACACCCAAGGAGTTGGCAGGAACGAGCCAGGTTGTGATTTTGCTGCTGTTTAATCTCGGGATGCACTGATGTGTTTGAAACAGGTTTGGGTTAATTCTGACTTGCTCTTAGAGGAGCCTGATTTAACCACTGCAGGGCTCGTTCTGAGGGGGCTTCAGGTACCCCCACCAGGCCTGGGTTCAGGCCCAGGTGCTTTCCTGCTGCCTTGTGGGGTCACTTGGAGATGGAACAACCCTGAGACACCAACTGCGTGGCAAAGCACCGAGCAGATGTTTTACCTCCAGTGAGACAAAGGGAGTGTCCTGCACCTGCAGAGAGATCTGCTCCCCATCGATGGTGAACTTCCTGGAGTACAGAGCACCTGGAGGGAGAGGAGGGTGGTGAGTCAGGGACTGGAGCAGAGAAAAGCACAGAAAGGCAAAAGGGAAGTGTTGGGAGGCAGGAGTTTGTAGGGTATGGAGCTGTTGGGAGGCAGGAGTTTGTAGGGTATGGAGCTGTTGGGAGGCAGGAGTTTGTAGGGTATGGAGCTGTTGGGAGGCAGGAGTTTGTAGGATGTGGAGCTGCCTAGAGGGAAGTGAGTGGCCCTGCAGGGGTTGTTGGCTCAGTGACGGGGGTTGTGTTTGCTGGGGGATGTTTTGGATGGAGAGCCTGGGTAGGGGCTTTGTTCTGAATCAGATCCTCCAAGTGAGGCCATAAATCCCAGTCAGGGTTCACCCCCTATTATCCACTTCATAAAATGTGAACTGCACTTGTATTTCATCTCAAACCAAGATATCCAGGGGTTGTCTGTAAGAGGAGGGAGCTGTTTCCTACTGCATTTTCCTGGGTGTCTTTAAAAAAGAAAAGCATTCTAGTTTGGGACAGTGAGTGTATCCAAACCACCCAGGTGCTCTTTGGGATTGGCATGATTTTAGC